ATCCACAAGATAAACCCAGGGATTTCAAATAGGAATTCAGAGTATTAAAAACATTCTGATCTATTTTAGTCTTTCTGAGTTCTTTGCAACAGGCAAATTGCTCTATTTTTTCACTACAGAAAAATAAGTTAAAACTAAGAGCTGGTGTTTTCCATGGGATGCCTCAAGTCTAAAAAGGTTGAAAACCACTGCTCCAAATTGTCACAGTGCTTCACAATATTGCAGTAGTGAGAACCATATTTATTCCTACTATACTACCTTCTTTGGTTGCACTTTCATTTCAGATACCAAAAGAAAAATCTTTCCTTTTTTACCTGCACTAGTGTAAGTAACTTTTACTTGCGTGTTTCTGCAGTTGATACTGAGTCATCCACCCAGTCTTGTGAAGAGCAAAATATTTGCTAGAAGATTTTGCCTTCTATCAAGAATTTTGTGACCTGTGACTAGTCAGGTGTGTGACAGTGTGTCATCTGCATCAGAAAAGGCATGATGTTAGTGCTTCAGCTGGATTTAAAATGTATTCTCAGAAATTTAACATAGTAGTTTACTTTTCCCATACACTGCTTTCTAGGCTGTTTATATTCAGTTTATTCTTAAAAGTAAATTACAAAAACATGGATCATGTTTAATAGTGAAACTTCTCATGAGGAAGGTCCAAGGTTTTAGATTGATGCTTTAAAATGAGAAGTTTGGGTATGCCAACACAGAGTCTTTGTTTTCAAGTCTTGTAATGTTTAAAAAGTTAATTGTCACTGGTTACCCTGACGTTAAAACAAATCCTAGAGTCTGAGCTATGCCATACTATAATGTTATGGTTGAAGAAGATGCATCTTATGTAGTACTTCAGTATACAGTATCTGCTTATAATTCTCTTGTGATTTGTTTGTTCAGGATATTAGAGGCAAATACCAGTGGTGAGGGAAACTTTACAAAATATTAATTTATTACTTTTGATCAGCTGTACTAATTTGTGTAATATTGCTTTATAAAGTAATTGTGTTTACATACTATTTAAGTGTAATATTGCTTAATTTTCTGCTTTCTTTACATTAGAAAATATGTAATCTATCTGAGTATGGGAGCATCTGGCATCTGGGATTAGTCCTCCTTAACTTTGCAAGTGTCTCAAATTTTCCCTCCTCAGTGTGTTGGAGGTATTTTGAAAAAAATCTCTTATTAAACCAACACACAATACTCGGGGTTATAGAGTCATCTTTCAGACTGATAAAAGCCTAACAATGAAATGGTGAGAGGTGCATAAACAAAACATGGGCTTGGCAAGCTAAAAACTACCTTGTAGATGTTTGAGTTATAATCTGAGTCCCCTCAATTATGTGGTCTGTGTCATTGTCTAAGTGGGTATCTTATAAAATTTAAGGGCTCAAAACCTCTACCACACCATGACTGTACATCAAGATCATGGCAGAACAGTAGTGTGCAATGTAAACAGTTTATAGGAGTAAAGGCACTGAGTTTCTTAAGAAAAGGCCACTTAAAACTTAAAGTAAATGAAGTTAAACATTTGGGGAAAAAAACACTTTGAGCTGTGCTTTCTGTACTATAAGGTACTTGTCAAATACGTTCCAGGCAGCCATATAGTACATACAGAGTTTAAAAAGGAACTAGTTTAAGAAAAAAGCAGAACTAGAGAAAATTGGTTTTGATACTTTTTTCACTAATTCTGCAGGATTTTTTTGTTTTTAATTAAGCTACAGCTGATCCTAGCTTTCTTTAACATTCATAACTTCTAAAAAAAGTAAAGGCATTCATAGTTTTGAGAATTCAGCTATTTTAACTATACTTCCCTTCCCCCCCCACCCTTCTTCAGGCAGCTTCTTTGGACGTTATAAATCGTGGTGTGCTTTTTTTTCAGTTAAATTCTTAGAATTGAAATACTTTGTAATATTATGTGAATGAATGTTTATACATTACTTGGTATACTTTTTTGTATGGTTATTTTGCTTTTTGGGGGGTTCATTTTATAATAGTGCCTATAGTTCTAACAGATTGGAGCCATGTTGTGCTACTTTCCAGAGGCAAAACTCGGCTGGATAATGAGGGGTGGGTGGGTGCTAATCACTGGAGAGCAGGAATGGGGGGTTATCTGCCCTGGAAACTTGAAATTTCCTGGCTGCTTCCATGTGGTGTCTCTACCCTGCTGCTCTCTTATTTTAGTTATGCTATTGCTAGTTTCTGTATAGTGTCTAAAGTGCTTGGAATCCAGATATGAGACAGAAAACAATTGAAAGAGAAACAAAGGTGCCAAGTGAAGTGACCTGTATAGGCTCATACAACAGGTCATTGGTAGAACAAAGAGTGCAACTCAGGTCTCCTGATTGACAAGCCAGGGCACCGTTAGACCACTCTGCTTCTCTGCAGAGTGCATGCACTTCTTTTCAGTAATGCTGAAGACAGTAATTCTCAGTCACATTCAGGGTGCCACAAAAAGTATGAAGAGATAGGAGGGGGCATGAGGAGATGAGCAGGAAAGAGCAAACTCAGGCCCCAGGTGTGAGGAGTTAAGCGGATAAAGGCAAGCTCAGACTCTCACTGCTTTGCTGCTTGTCTGCCTCCACTAGCTGGCCCTATTGCAAGGAGATAAGCACTAGGTCTCAAAATGGGGTGCCATTCAGTTCACAAAAGTTATGGAGAGATGTGTTGAGTCTAACAAAGGGCACCTTGAGTCTAAAAAGGTTGAAAAACACTGGCTAATGGGCTTAAATCAGGAGTTGTGCAAGCAATTAAGGATATATTTTCACTGCAGCATTAGCCAGGGTTGATCAAGTGTGGATGCAGTGTTCCCACTGAGAAACTGTACCTGAGCCAGAATGGTGTAACATAGGGATGGGCAAAATGGCAGATCCGGCCAGTGGCCAGACTCCATTTCCCAGCAGCCCCTGCTTGCCTGGCTGGGGCTTGTTTCCATGGAGACCCCAGCAGCAGCTGGGCTGTGATAGTGCAGGGCCAGGGTTTCCATGTCAGGACATGCAACAGGGCACAGAGCTGCTCTGTAGCCAGGCTGGGATCTTGCAGCCGTGACAGCAAGGTCCGGAGCTGGGGCAGAGCTGCGATCTGCAGCCTGCATGTTCTCGGCAGGGATGTGCAGGCAGCAGATCATGGATCTGCCCTGGTTCCTTGCAGTGGTGATAGCATGGTCTGAAGCTGGGGCAGAGCCTCAATCTGTTGCCTGCACATTCCTGGCTGGAGCGTGCAGGCAGCAGATCGCAGCTTTACCCCAGGTCTGGACCACGTTGTCACCTCTGCAAGATCCCAGGAGAGGCAGCACTAAGGGGAGGTTTGGGGGGACTGTAATCACCCCCAGAGTTCCCCATAGCTGCGCCACTGCCACTGCTGCCTGCCCTGCACAGGTGGTGGCAGCGGAGCCTGCCCCATTTTGCCTGCAGCACAGGCCCCCTCTTCAGTGTTCCCACCAGGAAGAGGCTGGCACTGCTGCTGCCTACAAATGCAGCTGCTGCTAGGGTCCCCAGGGAAACCAGCCCCAGCCATGTGGGGAGGGGTTGCTGGGAAATGGAGTCGATTGTCGGCCAGATCCGGCCCGTGGACTGGGTGTTGTCTGCTTCTGGTGTAACAGCATCCATAGTCAATAAGACTGCATCCACTGTATTGCTCTACTCGCCCATGTCTTGGGAGTTTTTACTATTTATTTATTTATTTTGGTGGGAGTTCCTCTGGATTCTAGTGCGCACATCTTTTTGTTGTCTATTTTTGCATGCTTGTACGTGCTGCTTTTTGTTTTCTCTTCTATAACAGACATACCTCTTAGCAGTGACATAAAAACACTTTCTGCAAATAGCATCCAAATGGAACTCAGCTGTGGATGTGGCCAGGTCCAGATGTGGGGTGTTGTGCAGGGCAGGGAATGTGTGTTACAGTTGCCAGTGGGTTCATGCTTCTGCTTCTTTGCTGGTGGCAGCCCTGGCTCAGAGAGAGAGAGGGCACACTTGTGCGCCCAGCATGCCAGAAGCAGCCCTGGCTGTCTGGCACCACACAGCTGCTGGAGACAGCTGCCAACCACCTGTGGGCAGATGCATTCACTGGGGAGTGTGCCCGCCTGTGGGGTGGATCTGGCCCATGGGCCATATTTTGTTCACCTCTGAGTTAAGGGCTGTACCCAGCTTAGAACTTTGTTTAATTATCCAGTTAAGACAAGCATTTGTTACAAGTTGGGAGTCAGTTTACACTTGCAGGAAGTTTTAGGTATGTTTATGCTGTTGGGGTTTTTTCATAAGATACAGAAATTGTAAACTGAATTAAAATCTCTGGTAATTGCTCTGGGTTGTGCACAAACTTATTTGTATTGAGAAACACACACCCATTGTCTTGGGGTAAAGTGACCCTTCAGAGCATTACAAGGCAACCAAGTTCTAGATAAGATTAAATCAACATAAAAATGGTTTATAGAGACACAAGGGTGTGGTGTTTACACTGGTGTGAAAACTAAGTAATATACCATTAGGCTATATTGAAAAGGAAGGTTAAAAAACAACACTGAAAGGATGATAAGTTATGTTATTTGTTAGAAAAAAACACTCTCAAGACCATAGTAAATGTTATTTAAGTTTTCACAAGGAATAGAAGCGTGGGTTTTTTTAATAGGAAAATCAAACTGCAAATTACTTAAAAATACATTTATCAACACTTGCAAGATTTGGTGTAACAGTGTAACGGTGTTCTCAGCAAGCTCTCTCTGATACAGGTACTTGATAGTGAGGCATAGAAAATCTTAGACGTATCTCAGAGACATTCATTAGCTGAGTTTTATTATTGAAATAGGTTCTTATGAAGAAAAGCTTTTGTTTGTTTGTTTGTTTATTTCTTTATTTATTGCAATTCCCTTTTTCCAAACAGACTGGTTTGGTAGAGGTCCAAACTAGCTGTTTAGAATTCTTTTTCATAGTAACTAGAGTTATATATTATTCTGTCTGCACACTTTAAGCTGATAAAATTTATTACGATTCAGAATTGCCAGTGTGTAACTATATGTATAATTTCTTTTTTTTTTAAGGTGCTTTTACTTGGTGAAGTAGTCTGATTGGCCCTTTCACAGTTTGGATGAATTTAGTGGACAATCACTCCAGCCATGTCGTATAGCACAGGTTTTGGGGATCCGGCTCAGTTAACCCAACGTATAACTTCTAACATCCAGAAGATCACACAATGCTGTAAGTTGCATTATTACATGTTCATATATATTCAAATAATTTAATATACTTATATGCCTGTGGCTAGGCAAGAAGACTGTCCAGTTTGATTTTTTTTTTCCCCTCCAACTTTAGGAAATTGGGACTTTCATTTGTTTTAGTTCCTCTTGGAGACTAAGAGATGATCTCAAATTTGGTATTATATTAATTTAGTAAATGAAAGAAATTCAATATTAAGATGCGCATATCCATCTTTGTTCTTTTGAAGTATTTTCCTGTGCAATATTAAAAAGCTTTTACTGTTTTCAAACTTTGTATTGAACTCTGACAGACAGCATAAGTTCCTTTCAAAAGAAACAAATTTGAGTAGAAAAAGAAAAAAAACTTTTGAGAAACCATCTTCTTTGGAGAAATTGACTGTATCTTATGAAAGTCACGTGATATAGGGCAGGGATGTGAGGCTACAGGCAGGTTACCAGAATTTGGGGGTGGGGCCTGTTGCAGAACCTGGGGCCTTTGGGCTCTAGTGGACATGGCAGTTGGTAGCAGGAGAGTAAGCAAAGGTTAGTACAGATCCAATTGTCCTACAGCTTCTTGACTTGACATCATTGCCCGTGTGCTCAAGCAGCTGCTTGGTCCATGTGCTTGCCCTACTTTCTCCCTCAACACTACATGTCCTAGGCTGGAGCCACTCTGGGTTGAAGGCTGGAGCTAGCCCACAAAGAGCCCTGTGGTCTGGATTTGACCTGAAGCATGAAGTGAGTTTGAAGCTCCTGGCATAGGATAAGAACTTATGAAAAGCCTTTCAGAGGCACAAGTGGGAAGTGACTGTCCACCTGAAACTGGAAGTTGGATTTGTAACTGGCCCTTGTCTTGGAGAAAAATCACTCTTCTAAACAGCAGAGCTTGTAAATGTGCTTGGTGAGAGAGGAATGAGATCCTTATTTTAAAAACCAACAATTTAAAATGCTGCTGTGGACAAAGGCAGTCCTTTTGAAATGTGAGCTTGGGAGTAAATGATATGCATTTACCATATTTACTCAAATAGAAGATGACTCTGATAATAAGACAAACCCAAATAATTAGATTCTATGTATGGAAAATTTTATAAATGCATTATAATTTTCCAGATATAGAATCTAATTATTGGAGGTTTGCTTTGAATTTGTCCCCCTCACTGCTACAGCAGTGAAAATAAATTTGGAGAGGGTTAGGTGGCCCCTTTGCTTTGTAGTTCTCCCCTGCTTTTTCTGCCAGCAGTCCTTTCCCTCTTTCCTTGTTGTCAGATACTGCTCTCCCTGAGGACATGGAAGTGAGGGGCAAATTTGAAACAGCCTTGAAATTAAACATGGCTATAGCAACTTTGCACATATTACCCAGACCATTCATCCAGAATTGATATGTTACCTTTTTTTGAAACTGATGAGGTTTTAGCACAAGTATTCCATAAACACACTTTTGAACAGCACTTTTGTGTCTACTTATATATACAATATTAGTCCAAAGCCAAAGTCTCATGATTTATCACATAGTTTTTTGGGCTAGGACCACACCCCACTCCTGGAGTCAACAGCATTTCAAACCCTGGTGACCCTACAGCTCAGCACTTATCAGTATGTGTGTGTACTCCAGATACACCCCCCCACAAAGGATCTGTTTGCTAATTGGCAGCCACTTAAGATTGGAACCAGGTGTTCTTGTCACAAGTCCTGAGGTCCTCCAAAAATTTATATGCGAATGAGGCACAGGGCAACCTGATCTGGCTTTACCTCATGGTGGGTGGGGCCATACCAGTTGTATGTGCCCAGCTTAGAGAGGGGATGACAGAGGGTGAATTGTCCCCCAAACTTGATGAACTGTTTGACGCCCCATTTCATGATGCTTGCCAGGTATTTAAGGCTGGTGAAGAAACAGGAGTTATTGGAAAAGGGATAGAAAGGTACATTTCAGCTGTGGGAGTGAAGGGGAGGACAAAATGTATACAATGTAGCTGCTCACCATGACTTGGAAAAAGAGTTGACAGCAAAGAGGACTGCACTGAACGGACATTACCACATGCCTTTTTCAGATGTACTGCACTAAGTTATCCTTGTAGTTCCCATCAGCACATTTGCCTGCTATGGCCCATTTCTTTTATAGTCATGCTTAGTGTTGGCTGCATTTAATCAACTTCATAGTTGGTTTCTATTGCTGAGCACATGCTACTTCTGGCAGCAGTTTAATGGTAGACACAGTATTTAGTAAGATTTCCTTGTATGTGATTCTAAGATGGGGGACTTGTTTCTCTGTCTCAGTTGGGGAAGGGGGCAGGAGGGACTTGTATTCAGGTGAATTCAGTATGTGAACAGTATTGCTCAGTCCAGTAGTGTAACTAGGACGTGGAGAGTGTGTAGGGTAGGAATCAAAAAATACTGCAGCTGTGCAGTCGTGCCAGAGGCAGCCGAAAGTCACTGCTGTCCCTGGCTGCATTGTTCTGCCTTTTGGCTCAGTCAAAAGGCTATACAGTTTGAATCCAGATGCAGAGGTTTGTTTAAATGAATGGTACCTGAATATCTGTAAGGACCTGGGCCTAAGCAATTTCTTTAGGATAGCACAGGAAGCAAATAGTAGTATTTCTTCAGCACTTAACTCCGTTGTAGCATTAGTTGGCTAACATTGTATTCTCTGTAACCTAGTTGGGTTCCCTGGCTCATCACCATATGTTAGTCCCTCTCTCGAATACTCTGTAACTTTGTCATTTTTTGGTTCACGACTCTTAACATTTTCTAAGAAAATTCAGTCTGCATGTCCTGTGCCAAGGAAACAAATTATCTGCTGGGTTTATTTCCTCCTAAGTAAGAAGCTTTTATGACTTAAGGTTTTTTAAGTGTGTGTTTGTTTTTATTATTGTAGTTTAATTTGCAGAGTTTTTCCTCTCATTTACTTGGAAGATTATGAACCTGATGAAAATCTCTTCATGATAACTTTGTAGCTACTTTGTTACACACACCTAAGCACGAACAGCTAAAATTAGTGGCATCTTTTTAACTTGCTTGTGGTATACACCAGACTAACAAATGTAACAATTGCATAACAAGTTCTTCCTTGCTGAAAGGACTCTATAAACATTAACTAGGGAGAAGAAAAAGTTATAATTAATCTAACAAAGTATGAAGAACACCTTAACCTTCTGTCAGTTCAAAAAAGAGATGGAGGTCAGTTTAATGGTATTAAAATACATAGGCCCTGAAATTCTGTGATGTACTTGAGCAGTTTTTATGTTCCGTCTCCTGAAGTCATCTCAGTTAAAATTAAATGTGGGTTCTTTCACTTCCTAATTTTGGTAGAGACAAGCTATCAACAAGCACACTGATTCATGATTTTTTTTTTTTTGTGATAAGTGCTCCTACTCGTTAGGAACTAGACTAATTTCAAATAAATTGTACCTTTTTGATGACCATCACACTGGAAATTGGGCAACCCAGAAGTAGCAGGGGGAAGAGGAGTGATCTAACCATCTGTTCCATAGCCTTTTACCAAAATTCCATATTATCCAGCATAACTCAGAGGCTGAATTATGTTTACTCTTAGAATGGTCATTTTGGACTTTTGCTCCTATACCTCAGCATTTCTGTACTCCACAGAAAAGTAACAATTTCGAAGATAAAATTTGATGACAAGTTACAGAAATAAGCAGACTTTTCCCTTGGACAAATCTTCTTAGCACATGACTGTTGCTGTAATTTCACTAATGAATGAGACTGGAAATACTGAAGACTTGTGGTTTAATCGTTTTAAAGTTTAAACTTCTTTATTCTCAAACCACAGCTATGTAAGACTAGTTTTACTCCTATTAATAACTTAATGGGGTTTTCAGGTGCTTCCTCATATATAGCAGCCAATTTTTCTGATCCTCTATCATAGTTGAGAAAATAACGCTGTAGAATAAACTTCTGGTTAAAATTAAGGGACTGCAAATAAGGACACTGACTTCCTCTACATGTTACAGGTATTAACCTTAAGACTGGGTACATGTGCAAATTAGCGACCGACCACGATAAAAAGCCAACCAGTTATAAAGTTAGACCTGAAAAATGTGTAGTGACTTTATAGTTGGTTGCCTTCAAGCTTTAATTTGCACATGTAGCAGGGTCTCCGCTGCAGCTAGAAGCCCCATCAAGTGATGGGACTCCAAGCTGTGGGGTCCACCATGTCCAGTGTAAACCCCCCAGGCCCTAGGGATCAAGGCAGCCATGATCCACAGGGATGCATGCAACCCCTGAGCCCTATGAATCAAGTTAGCTGTAAACCCCTTGGTCCTTGGGATCGCACCAGGGTTTAATTCACCCATGAGCCCTAGGGATCATGGGTGAATTAAACCTGGGAGCCCCTCAACTGCAGGCATCCCAGCCACAGGAGCTTGCTTTTTGCCAGTGTAGGGGAAACCCAGGATCAGGCTCCCCCTGCATCAGCTATAAGGTGTGATGGGATCTAATAGACAATCCCACAGTTGTGCCTCCTGTTATGTACATGTGGCATGGAATGAAGCCTGGTTGTGTGGATTGCACATTAGATCCCATCATTCCTTTACCTGCACGTGTAGAAGGGGCCTATGATCAAAAGTTGTGGGTAACGATTCCTATGGTATACTAAGTATCCTGTCTATTGCGCCTCTAGGTAATGTGGGCACATTTAATGATAATGCAGATTAGGAAGGTACAGAGGCCAGGATCATATGAACACTGGCCTTGCTGCAGTGACAAGTACAGGACACTTCTAAATCCTCAAACAAGTGTCTGCAGCAATGAAGCTCTTTAAGCTAAAGTAGTTTGTCTGTAACAGATACCTACTTAAATAAAATACTGTTCCAGATAACCCTTTGTCCATCTTAAGTGCCTACTTATTAAAGGTACAAGAATATTGACCTGGTTATCTGATTCCAGAGTCCAGATGGGGGGCTGTGGTGGTCTCATAAATCAAATGCCCACACTGAAACACTGTAAATTGGCATGTGGTTCACATCATTGGTAATGGTTTCTGTA